CAATATGGCTCAATATTAGACTTTTACTTGCCTCCCTAAAGAGGAACTTTGACCCGTCCATTTTTGATAAGGCCAAAATTCACATCCCTCATCTTGACATTCAAGATGCTCTGCAAACTGCTCTCTGCCCATACCTCCAATATTTGTCTCCCTCTTACTCCTTTAAATAATCTCTATTCTTTCAGGAAAATGAGCTTTTACACGCTACCCAAGCACAAATGAGAAGTCTTAATAAAGACTCTTACTTTGTGATTAGTAGGGACCAAACCCACCAGTGCAACAATGGAGTTAAAAGATAGCTTCTTTCCTGCCCCCACATATTCTGATCCCTAACTTCAGCTGAGTAGAGGTAAGATGAGAGCAGACATTTTTTTTCCTTTCCCCTTCCTTCCCTACAGTTCTACCACAAGTCATTTAATAGCATCCTATATTCTGATCCCAACCACCTATAAAGGCACATGCACTATGGAAATGATGTTCATCTTCCCACTATGGGATAGAACTCATTTCTTACTCACAGAGAAAGAATTTGTGCAGTCTTTTGTACAATGTGGTGAATGGGGGGGTCACTATTTGCAACTGAATTTTGTTTCTCAGGTGAGGGGGTAGGAGGAAAAAAACCCAAATAGATATAGTAGCAATTAAATATTAATGAAACATAGATTTGAAAGATAGAACTCCCAACAGTGTATTTCTTTTTGGTGAAACATTTTAATCTCTATATTCCTTGGTAAAAAAAAGATTACTCAGCATTTTCCCATCTGCTTTAATTTGATTCAACAAGGTTTTGTTGTGTTCTAAGACATTTTTCTAGTCACTATGGAAAGATAAAAAAAAATCTAAATCTTATCTACTTGATTTTAATAACTATTCCTTTTGCAACTCTTGTTGTGATGAAAACTCTTTCATTTCTTCCATACTTTTCCCACTATTATGATTCACAGATCCAGAGCCCTTGCATCTTCTTTCCAAGTTGTGTCAGATTCTGAAAGTCTCTCACTCTCAAACTAGGCAAATCAGCCTCTCTTTTCACTCTGATATTAAATTCATGTAACCATTGATTTACCTAGGCAGGGCATGATTAGCCTGGGAGTAGGACTTTTTCCTACTTTTCCCTGCTGACAACTATAATTTATCTACTGTTCTTGTTGAGTTTCAGGGAACACTTCTCCAAAGAGAATAGGAAGACAGCTCCCCACTTAAGGGGCTTTTTACAACTTCAAATGAAGCCTGAGAATGTTAAGAAAGATCAGCTTAGACAATGTGTTTTAACCCTAGACTTTTTGTTTACAGAGTATCGGGGAATCCCTCTGGTGATAATATGACCTTTGAATAAAGTAGAAAAATTTGGGTGAATTGAAAGAGATAAATTTGGCAGGAATAATAGAATTAGATTAAGAAGGCCTTGTTATATGTTAAGGATTAGAGAGTAAGGAACATAATGTTACCTAGGTTTTTGTGTTTCTCTAAATACTACTTTATCAATATGTCTTTCAAAATTATATTCTGTAATGGGTATATACACTTTAAATACATAATTTTATTCTTGTGAAAATCATACTTAAGTGGGAATAATTATATTTTATCATAGAAACCTAAAATTAGAAAGGAACTCAGAGAACATTCAGTCTAACTCACATATGAAATATTGATCTCAACTAGGTCGGGCAGTGAGGTGGTGGAATAGATAGAACCTAGAATTGAAATCAGGAAGACCTGAGTTCAAATCTGACCTCAGATTGTCTTGGACCAGAAACTTCACCTCTGTCAACTTGAGTTTCCTCATCTGTAAAACAGAGATAATGGTGTTGACTGTGTGAGCCCCATAGTGCCGGGAAGGCACCAGCTGCCCCACAGGGAGGAGGCGGAGACCGCAGCTTGAGGGAGGCCCCGGCTCCTCTGAGCCTACATCGGGAATAGCCAGTGTGCAAAGAGAGATCTCCTCCTCCCAACCCATCCCTGCCACCCGGGATAATCAGAGTTTTTTGCCCGACCCTTCTACCCACCGAGAGTGCAGAGTCAGGTGGAAAGAAGCACATACCATGAAGATGAGACAGATTAATAAGGAATTTAGTGATTTGGCCCATGATCCTCCAGCACAGTGTTGTGCAGGTCCAACTGGGGATGAATTGTTTCATTGGCAAGCCACAATTATGGGACCTGATTACAGCCCATATCAAGGCAGAGTATTCTTTTTGACAATTCATTTCCCTACAGGCTACCCCTTCAAACCACCTAAGGTTGCATTTACTACAAGAATTTATCATCCAAACATTAATAATAATGGCAACATTTGTCTCAATATTCTAAGATTACAGTGGTCTCCTGCTTTAACTATTTCTAAAGTTCTTTTATCCATTTGTTCACTGCTACGTGATCCAAACCCGGATGACCCCTTAGTGCCAGAAATTGCAGGGATCTATAAAACAGACCAGAGACAATTACAAAAGAATATCTTGAGAGTGGACTCAGAAGTATACCATGTGATGCTACCTTAAAGTCAGAATAACCTGCATTATAGCTGGAACAAACTTTAAATTACTGTTCCTTTATTTTATTTTCTTATCCGGTTGCTCCCCTATCAGACCTCATCTTTTTTAATTTTATTTTTTGTTTACCTCCCTCCAATCATGCACACACTCATCTGAGAAGACTTGAGTTCTTCCAGCTTTGGACAATAACTGCTTTTAGAAATTGTAAAGCAGTTACAAGAGAACAATTGCACAAGATTCAGATTTTTTTTTTAAAAATGGAGCATATGTATTATGTGGCCAATGTCTGCACTCTAACTTGGTTATGAGACTAAAACCATTCCTCACTGCTCTAACAGATGTTGAAGATAACCATCTGAGGGGGAGGGAGACGTATGCCCAATTGCCATATCAAAAGAAGCAACATTACTGTAGCAGCATCCATCTTGTTTAAGCCTTCCATTGTTAGAATTTCAGGTTTTATGATATACTTTATGCTCATAACTGATGTGATTGGAGAATTGGTACTGAATTTATAGCATCAGTGGAACAGAAAATGTGATGTATTTTGTGCATGTTGATAAAGGAACGATCTATTCTTGTTCTACAGAGAATGGAAATTTGAAGTCAAACACCCCTTATATTCCAAAATAGGATCTTGAACTTTTTGTAATTTTCATTTAAATTTTGTTAGGAGGCTCGGAGCTATTGGTTAATCTATCTTCCAAAACACTGTTTAATATAGCACTGAATAAATGACACAAGTTGTCAATGGATGAGTGATCAACTAAATAGCTCTGCTAGTAATTGATTTATTTTTCTTCAATAAAGTTGCATAAACCAATGGAAAAAAAACAGACATAATAATAACACCTACTTCCCAGGATTCCTATGGTGATGCAATGAGATAATATTTGTAAAGCACTTTGTAGACCAAAAGGTGTTATATCAATGTCAGCTATTGTTGGTGTTGCTATTATTATTATCCACTGACAAATGGTCATCCATCCTCTGATAATATATATATATATATATATATATTTCCAATGATGAGGAACTCACCAATTTCTGAGGGCATCCATTCCATATCCAGAAAGACAGAATGGTAAGAGCTTTCCTTTTCCCCCCTCTATTCAGCTATCATCTTTTCACCCATTTTTCCTACTTCTTCCCTCTCGGGCTGAGCAGTATCATGTGGTCATAGATCTAGAGTGAAAGGGGCCTTAAAGGCCAAACTATCCCCAGACTAGCCTCATTTTACAGACAAGGAAACTAAAATTCAGAGAAATCAAGTAAAGGAAGCAAAAATTATTCTCAATGAATCATTATTCTGTTAAGTTACCCCAGTTTAAGATCCTGATATATATATATATATATGTATATATATATATATATATATATATCCATTAATCTACCATAACAGTAGTTCCTATGTGCTACACTGAACAACTGTGTCACCTTTCTCCATGTTGACAGACCATTTAATATGAAATTAATAATCAAAGTAATCCCAAAATAATAAAATGATTTTAATATTAATCATATAAAAACCTATTTTCTATTTCATTAAAATATATAATATCTGAATACATTTAACCAAATAGTACCCATAAGATATTATAATAATTAATTAAGCATGATGGAATTTGCCAAGTTATTCTTTCAAATGAAAGAAGAGATCAGATATCCTTTGATTACTTTGCAGAAGAAGGTTTTGCCAATAGACACACATATATGCTACTAGGTGGCACAGTAGATAGAATACATAGAACTTCTCTTCAACTGAAAGACAAGAACACCTGAATTAATTCTGATTTTAGACACTTATTATCTGCATTAGCTGTACTTAATGTTTGTCAGCCCCAGTGTCTTCATCAGTGAAATGGGGATAATAATAATATCTAGCTCCCAGAATTGTTTTGAAAATGAGTCTTCCTGATTCGCAGCCCAGTGCTCTATCCACTGTGTCACCTAACTGCCCCATAATATCTGTAAATAATTTTGTAAAACTTAAAGTACTATGTAAATAATAGCTACTGTTTTTATTCATCCACCCAGGAGCTATCCAGCTCTGCTCAAGTGTGCAAGTAGGTTCCTGTGACAAGCTATTTTAGTGTGGTTTTAAAAAATAATATGTAAACAAAATCCAAAAGTTTTATGAATTTATTAAAAGTAAAACCCAAACACTTATCTAGCTATGTAAAACCACTTTTGAACTACTTTGTAGTTATACTTTATGAATTAACCATTCAGCATGGTTTTGGTAATGTGTCCTTCCATGAATATAGGGTAAAGTGTTTGTAACAAGACTGAGTTGCCTGCATCGGATACCCCGGGAAAGGAAAGAGCTTGACTGATTTTACCTGTCTGTTTCAGAAGAAGCAGAATGCCCTAATCACTCAAATATATTACTAGCAGTCTGGCCTGCTGGATATATGACTAGTCATTCTGCCAGAATAAGGCCTAATCAGTTGAAGGAACCAGTTTCCAAGGGCACATTTTCTAAGTTCTAAATGTATTGTCTTAGACTCAGGTCCCCATCCTATGGAAAACCTTGATGATAGCCCTTCGTATCTGTTTGGTCTTCACACTGTAGATAATGGGGTTGAGTACAGGAGGGATGAGGAGGAAAATATTGGCCATCATAGTGTGCACAAATAGGGGTGCATTGTGACTATAACGATGCACTAGAGATAAACTGATGAGAGGAATGAAGAAAATAGCAACAGCACTAATGTGAGAAATGCATGTGTTGAAAGCCTTTTTCCTCTCATCAGGGGATGCAATGCTTAGCACGGAATGGATTATCAGGACATAGGAAATGAGGATGCATGGACAGTCAATTCCTGATGTTGAGAAGAGAACAAACAGTCCCATGATGTTATTGATCTGGTTATCTGTACATGACAACTTGATGAAATCAATATGGTAGCAGTAGGAGTGGGAAAGAACTTTTCCCTGGCAGAATGACAGCCTCTTGACAAGCAACACCATAGGTGTAATGACTGCAATTACTCTCACCCCCACAGCCAAGCCAATCTGGATAATTCTGGTTTTGGTGAGGATGTTAGCATACCTGAGTGGATCACAGATGGCAATAAAACGGTCAAAGGCCATGGCCAGCAGCACCCCAGATTCCATGAAAGTGAAACTGTGAAGGAAAAACATTTGTGCCATGCAGGCATCAAGACTGATTTCTCGGGCATCAAACCACAAAACTCCCAGTGTAGTGGAGAGGGTACAGAGGGACAATCCCAAGTCAGTGGCTGACAACATGGAGAGGAAATAGTACATGGCCTCATGAAGACTCCTCTCATGGATGACTACAAACAAGATCATGCTATTTCCAGTGAGGGCAATGGCATAAAGGATACAAAAGGGAATAGAAATCCAGACTTGGGTGGCATTCATTCCAGGAATGCCTGTCAGAAGGAAGGTCAGAGGCTGCAAAGTAGTGCTATTAAGAGTTGACATAGTGGGCTGAAGAGTCTGCTGTCACTGCTGATATTTCACATCCTAAAATAACCAAGAAATTATTTATGTACATAGCTCATTTCTATAGGTCATTTTCACCACAAAGTATACTTCAGGACAATCATTGTTAGGTTGGTTAAATGCATATCTGAGTGAATTGACTAGTATTCCTAGAACATCATTTTGCCTTTGATGATACCTAGCAGAGACTCCCTCAAATGTGATGAATTCAGTTCTCCTAAAATGCCAAATGAGTGGGGGACTTCTGGGTAAGATCTACAGGAGTATTTCTCAAGCATTTTTAATCTGCAATACATCTTTTCTTACATGTATCTTGAGGATCATTTGCTCCATTGGGTACTATTTGTGCATAAACCTTACCAGAATCATTGAGAAAGAGTGCTCTTCTGTTAGTTGACCATGAAAAAGTCTTAATTTGCTAGGAGTTATTACCAGTAATTTTTGCTTCATGTCTGAAGTATATGAATAGACTTTCATACATATATTGAGTGTTTATTATGTTAGTGAAGTGCACAATGATTGATTCTCTCCAGGTCAATTATGGAACACTGCCTGTTTCCATACAGAAGGACTGGAGGAGTCCAAGGAGAAACTAAGCAGCCATCACTCAGGGATATTTTTGAGAGGTTTTATGTTTCATTTAGGGGTTGAACTAGATGACTTCTAAGAAGATTTCTGATTCTATTATTCTGATATTTAAATGACAGTGCATACCTCTGTAAAAAAATAACATGAGGGGCAAGACTAAAAGTCAGGAAAGGGAACCACAGCAAAAAGGACAAAAAGAAAGATTAACTCAATGTGTAAGAAGTGTGTAAATAAAACTTAAATGAAGTTGAAATCATGGACTTTTCACAGATTTTAAAAGTTGGATGGAAAATACAGTCCAACCTCCTGATATGTTAAATGAGAAGAGGTCTCCTGGCCTTTGTTCAAAATTTCCAGGAATAGAGAATTCAGGACATTCTTCTTTATGTCCAGGTGAAATATTCCTCCCTGTAACATCTAGCAATTAGTCCTAGTTTTTTCATCTAAAGGTACATGCAAAATAAACGTAATTCCTTTCAAAGGCAGTTTTGATGATTATTGAAAATAACAATCATATGAGATCAAGAATATGTTTTTTTTTCTTAAGAACAACAAAACTGGATTCTATGTAATTATAATGACCAAATTTGACATGAGATAAGAGGTGAAAAAATGCACCTCACTCTTGTCTTTGCAGATAATGGAACTGTGAGTAAGAAACATTACATGCACAGTCAAACTTGACTGATATGTTACTTCTGCTCAACTTCTTTCTGTCTTTTTGTATTCATTGTTATAGGGGATGGTTATTTAGGCATCAGAGAAGAAAGAATATATTTGTAAATGAAGATTATACAAATTAAAAATATCAATAAATTTTGAGAAGGTTGAAAAAGTTATTTCTTCTAAAGCTTAATCTAATGCCCCTGCTCAAAAACCTTAAATGGTTCCCTACTACTCATTTAATAAGGGCAGATTTACTAACTTAACATTGAAGTATCAAAATAAGTTGTATCCAGTGTACCCTTTTAGTTATATCCCATCATTCCCCCTATAAAAATTCTCCTCACCAACTGAATTGGACTTTTCACTCTTCCCTTAGAAGAAATCAAAGATTAGTGGAGCATTTTTAAGATCTTTATAATGTTAATGAGGTCCAAACCCACAAATGTAATGCAAGATATGAATCATGTCTTCCCCTTTCCTAGAAGTGAGTGCCAGCCCCAGATGAGCAGAGAAGGGAGAAAGTAGCAGTTGTTCTCTTTTCTATTCCTTTTCTTCCTCAACTTAGTGTTCAAATCATATCTAAGTGGGTCTCATTTGGAACAGCTTTCAGTTCAAAACATTGAAGTTAACATAAAATGGTGATTTCTCTTCCCTTTGTTGGAAGGGAGATATGGAATTTGTTGGCTATACTGAGATGTGCCAAATATTGGAAAGAGAACTTTCTAGTAATTAGAATTTTATCATGAAGAAGTAAATCCCATACCTCTAGAGGTATTTCAATAGAGGCTGAATAGATTCTTGTAATATATTTTGTTTATACATATTTTCAGTCAGCATATCTGATTACAGTGCAGGGTTTGGACTAAATGAACTCTGAGGCCCTTCTAGATCTAGCATTCTATAATTCTGATTTCACAATTCAGCGGAAGGTTATGATAATTCTGTACATAATTCCCCTGAAATTTCGAGGAATTTGAGATGCTCCCTGACTTGGAAGGAAGGCATCAAGAAATGTATTCATCATCTCTCCCAAATCATCCCTTGACATTACTGCCAAAGGCAGAGTCCTTGATTTAGGGATCACTTTAGGCCAGTCTAGATTCTCTCATCTTCAGGGTTAGCTGTGATGCTGGTCAATGACAAGACTGGCATTAGGTTCAAGAAACTAAATCCAAAACCTTTTCTTAAATGCAAAGATTGAGAGGGAAGATCCCAGAAAGCAGTAGGTTGAGAGAGAAAATTAAACAGTAATGAATCATCCAAATATACAAATTTAAGGGAGAAAAAAAAAACTTGCTAGTTTTCATAAACAACTGATTTATCTTCCCTAAAAAAGAAACCCTTACCTAAAAGTTCTACCCTCTATATCATAAAATTCTTTCTGTTGTAGTTTTAACTAGCTTAATAAATGACTACCCGAAGCTTTAAGGCCTTTCCTTTATGGACTCCACCATACTTCTACCCCAGAAAGCATGGACAAAAAATCCTATTTTTCTTTCTAACAATCTCAAGATCTATATGATTCTGGGAGTGCCATTACCACCCTGAACTGCTTACCCAACTCCTAAAGGAGAGGAATCAGCCCTGTCTTCAAAAAGCCCCGGCAGAGACAGGCAACAGAAAATAATGTTTGTCATGAGATTTTATACAGTGATGAAAACAAAGCTTGCTCCCTTCCACTATCCCTCTAGAGAAAGGATGCTGTAATTTTGTGCCTTCTGGGAAACACTTGTAGGCATATATATCAGGACCAGTTTCTAAATGAGTTTTAAAATTTGACTTATGTTTGATTTCATCTTCCCACCCTATTTTTCTCTTTCAAACATCCTTCAAAAAGTACTCACTTCTATAAAGCCCTGAGGCAGTTTTGAACCACCTTACCGGCAACACACAAGCTCCTATTATAATTTCTGTCATTGTTGTTCTTTTAAAATACAAGAGAGTGAGCATGATGTAGTACAGAAGAAACAACTCATGAGTAAAAAAACATGGATTCCATTTTGAGCTCTAAAAATTCACAATATGATCTTGGGCAAGTCATTGCCTCTAAATTTGTAAAATGATGGCGGAAACCCAAATATTCTTCAAGATCCCTTCTATCTATCTCTAAAGGGTTATTTTTCTGTTTTTGTTGTATGTTGTTGCTCATGTTGTTGTTGTTGTTCTGTGTGTGTTTGATATCTGTACAATCGTACTTCACACCCCATGGTTAGGGACCATGTTTTTAAGGACAGATAGAAATATTACTCTTAACATTCATGAAAACTGAATATATCAGGGGAAATATCATCCCACGATAATAGTTCATATTCTTCTGTTGTGAAGATGTACATATTAGACTGATCATACTTGACTTGGAGTGCTAGTCATTACTGTTGCATCTGTATTAGACATAGAACCTTGTACCCTTACAGGGTCTCAAAGGCAATGGTGATAAGACAGTCCTTAGTCTTTCCTAATGGTTAGAGAGCTATCCTAGATGGTTGTAGTGATGGTCAAACTACATTGGACTGAAAGTCTATGGCTCCTTGTATTTAAGGACTAGCTTAATCATGGAGTGCCCTTGAGTCCCCTTTGGCCTTGGATTTTTTTTTTCCACCTGCAAAGTGGTGAAACTGAGATGATCTTGGAAGTCAGTTTCATGTGTGAGAGGGAATCATTCTATATAATCATAGAATCATCCCCATCTAGTTCAGAAATTACCTTTAGAATCATATGCTAATAGATGTGGTTTTGTTTGTTTTCATTCCATAAGATGAAAGCATCAATTTCCTTCAGGACCAAATGATGTAAGATAATAGGCACTATTTAGAGTAAGAAGACCTGGTCATTTCTTTGCCCACCCATTTATAAAATATCTTATTTCCTGTGTTCTTCTGGTTTATAACCTAAATTTGAAGTACACATGGCCTTTATCCTTGGTAGAGGTGATAGTAGAAGAAAGGAGATATGTAGAATAAAATTTCTGATATTTTTACACTCCTTTAAGGTTTCTAAAGTATTTTGCATACATTACTTAATTTATTCCTTATGAAAATCTTGTGAAACAGGTGCTATCATCACCTCAATTTGATTTGTGAGAAAACTGAGGCAGAGAGAGATTAATTGATTTTCTCAGTCACACAGTTACTTGGTGTTTTAGGCTAGGATTTGAACTCAAGTCTTTCTTACTCCAAGACCAGAACTATATTGACTATGACACATTACCTCCCAAAAAAACAATAGATGGGAGTGTATTTGTCTCCCACTGGAAATTCCTCAATGGTGGTTAGTGTGCCTCTCCTCTCCTACATACCATAGTCAACATCTTATACCATACAGACGCAGAGTGTTTAGAAGGAAATTGGATAACATTTAGAAGCTATCTGTCATCCTGAAGCATTAGTGTTGTAGGATTGTAACTATCCAAAGAACAAAAGTTTCCTGTCTGACTGAAAAAAAAAATGCACCCCAGACATTTATGAAGTATCACAACCTCATGGATGTGTAAGTGGATATACAACCATTGACCTTATAAAGCCTAATAACAATCTATGTTTTTTCATTGTTTTTCTAGTCTTTTCCTCCTTCTGTCTAGTAGCATATAAAAAAGTAACTTGTATTACTGTATATAAATATGAATTCTGTTAATTTCCTGATCTTTGACTCTGGCTCATAATTTTTATGTCATATCTATAGTAATAAAGCAATAGAATTAATTTTTGAGACCCTCATAGTATATCTGG